GGGGTTTCCTAGGAATGTTCAGGGTTCCCCCCGGGAGCAGTCGGGGTCCCCGGGAAGAGCTGAGGCTCCCCCAGGAGCACTTGGGAGCCCCTGGGAGCAGAGAGGGTTCCCTGGAGCAGTCGCGGTTTCCTAGGAACGTTCAGGGTCCCCCCCGGGAGCAGGTGGGGGTCCCGGGAGCAGTCAAGGTTCCCAGGAACAATCAGGATCCCTGGAGCAGTCGGGGTTTCTTAGGAACACCCTGCACCGCTGCTGACCTGGGCACTCATCACCTCTCCAGCTGCTCAGGTCATAATTGTGGGCCCCCCACCTCCATTTCCATACTCTTGGATTACGTGGTTCCGCAGACAATCCCGGACGGAGCCGGGGTCACCGTGATGGCTGGTTACAGCAGGACAGGCTGGGAGAACTGGGAGCAGAGCCACACACTGCGATGGAGCCTTGACTTCCACTGTCCCCTGTGTTCTGCTCCCGAGCTCCTGTGCCTGGGAAATGGGGGACAGACCTACCCAGAGAGCCTGGCCCAGGCAGAGGGTCAGGGCTGAGCCCCAAACCCAATAGCTGCACATTTTTGGGGTGTTCTGTGTGTCATTTTTATACTTCTTTTCTGTTACTTAAGCCCATCCTTAAATGTAACCTTTACAGTGACTGGTCCATAGGTTATGGATCTTTATTCCGAAACAATCCCTGGAGAGTTCCACTGAGCTCTCCTGGTTGGAATCTGTGATACTCAAATCAGGAAGGGAAGGGTAAGGGGGTTTCCAAGCAGCATAAGTGGTCCAGTAACTTCTTGGTGGGGTTTCTGTGGTTGCACAGTTCCAACACAACACTCCTAACAACCCTACACGTGGTGCTTTGCCATCTTCCACCTTTTAATCGTAGCTACTTCTTCCATATGATCAAACCTTGGTTATTTTATCAGACTGTTTGCAACAGTCCTGCCACACTGTCCGTCCACGTTTGTCCCTGCTGCTGCATCCCCTTCCCAAATCCCAGCGAGCTAATTGATCCACCCAGCTAGTTAATTGATTTAGGGCTATTAGGGGCTCTCATTAAGGGGCCAGCTGGAGAGCTGTGTGTTATCTGCCCGGTGGGAGCAGCCTTGGGAAGCAGCCAGCTCCGATGGGCCCAGGGCTGCCCCGGCCCCACACCCGGCGCGGCTCGTCTGGATTCTTGGAAGGGTTTTACTCCCCCTCACACTTCGGGTTTTCCCTTTCATCCCCTCCTTCCCTGACATTTGGGATCAGCGAGCTCAGCCGGAGCCTCCCTTCCCCGCCCTTATCTCCTCCCCCGTTCCTGCCTGCAAGGTCAAGGCACCGTCTTCACCTCCGTGCGGATGCAGGAATTTGCATTGCTGGGCGGACCAGTTCAGACCAGTTTGTTATCAGAGCGTCCCCAGACCTCCCGCTTCTGCCGCGGGTGTTCTCGGGGCACGGGAAGGTGATAAATGACCGGGGGCTGGGCGGGATGGCTGTACCTGGTACCAACACATCTGCCCGCTGCTAACGAGGTCCGGGGGCGTCACTGCCAGCCAGGAATGCAGGGAGATAAGGGGGAGGGGAGGCTGGAGGCGCCTGGCAGAGGTGTCCAGTGCCCGGCTGGCGCAGGAGGTGGTGAGGTGGATGGGCAGAGAGTTTGGGAGACCCTCTGAGCCTCGTCCCCAGGGCTGCTGAAGAGCGTGGTCGGGACACGCTGGGAAGTGACGGACACGGGCAGTTCCAGCAGCCCCCGGCCCGTCCGCGTGTCGGGGCCGCTCCGCCCGCGTGGCAGCAAAGGTGGGTGCGATGGGAGGGTCCCGTCCTGCTGGGGCTCTCTGAACCCTCTCAGCCTTCTCCCTTCCCCTCCTCGACCCTGCAGGCTCTGCTGCAACCCTGCTCCCCCAAACAGCCCTGCACAAGGCTTGGAGCATCCCGGGGACTGTGTGGTTCAGCCAGGTGATGCTGGACGGTGGCAGGCGCTGGAGGAAGGGGGGGGGATTGCAGGGTGTGCAGGGAACCTCCTTGCACAGTTGTTCCATGCCCTGTGGAGGTACAGGATCCGCTCCTGCATGGATGCTCCATGCCCTGGGGGTGCAGGGACGCCCTTTGTGTACCCTGGGGGTGCAGGACCCGCGTTTCAGGGTTGCTCTGCAGAGGTGGGGTCGGAGCAGACCCAGGGGCTGATGGGGTGCCGGTCGAGGGTCTTTCGTCCCACTCCGCTTTGAGGCCGGTTTGCTGATGGACCAGAGATTCCCGGAGGATTTTGGCTGTCCCTGGGGATCAGGGAAGCGGCGCTGCCTGGGGTCTGTGCACCCTCGGGCACTGGGGGGGCTGTGCCCCCTCGGTAAGGAGCGTTTGCTCTCGGAGGCAGAATCAGTGCCGGGAGCGGGATGGGAAGAGGAGGGAAAACTCCCAGGAGGAGGGACAGGAGCGCTCCGGGAGAGCTCCTCGGGGAGGGGGATCGGTTCCGCCGGATATTGGAGTGGAACCAGAGACTGGGGGAGAGCCGGCGTCCCCAGGGAGCGGAGCGGAGTGTGGGGCTGCAGGACTGGGGTGTAGGGGTGCAGGATTAGGGTGCAGAGCTGCAGGTCGGGAGTGCATAGGTGCAGGATTGGGGTTCAGGGACGCAAGGCGCTCCAACCCACCCTCCTCCGTACTTCAGTGTTGCTTTGCAGGACCCGATTCTGCCGTGCCAGGTAAAACCGCAATTTAGGGACAAAAGCGTGTTTTTTGTGTTTCCCTCCGGCCCTGCCCCGGGGTGGTCCCTGCCGACGGTGCCCGGGGCGAGGGTGGCTCTGCAGCTCAAAGCCCGCCGGGGGTTGGGCGGTTTGGGGTCGGAGCATCCCCCGATCTCTGACCCCCCCAGCCCTGCGGGGAGGGAGCCACAAAGGCTGCCCTGGGGAGCCTCCCTCGTCCCTGTGGAGAGCCCGGACTGTCCCGTGGGAGCAGGGATGGAACCTGGAGCGGGGCTGTCACCCCGCTGCGATGCCAGGCTGGCGGGGGGGGGGCTCGTCCAAGTCCCGTGCCCCAACACTGGGCCGGGATCCCGTGGGACAACACGGGGTGGTGCCGCGGGCGCTGTGACACGTGGGGCTGGCACAGGGCAATGAAAGGTGGCTGGGAGCGAGCAGAGCCTCGGGCAGGCAGGGGGGTGCCAAGGCACTGCAGGTCCGTGTCCCTGCTGGCACAGGTAGCTGTCCGGGTGGCTCCAGGTGCCCCGTGGTCCTCGCTGTGGGGATGCCGGGTGGCTCTGGAGGTGTCCCAGCGCTCCGGGAGCGCCGCGGGTGCCTGTTGATTCCTTTGAATGCATGCTCGGAATAAAGGCAAGTACAACAGACATTCAAACACTACCAAAAAAAAAATCTTTTATTACAGTAAGAAAAAAGAAAAAAACTACTAGTAAAGAGAATCAAAAGCTGAAAAGGAATACAAAAAAACTGCTTTATCGGTTGGCATTCATACAGTACTACAAACAGCTTTTATTACAGTATTGACTAGTAAAAAGGGAATTAAAGGGATACGAAAGAGGATGTAAAACTTTTGGTTTCTCTCAAGAAACTGTGTTTACCTACACAGACAGGCCAGGGCTGCCAGGATCTGCAGCAGCTGGTTGGTGCCTGTGCTTAGCGGGCATCCCCACAGAGCAACACAGTCTCCATGGCAGGATGAGGATCGCTCACCCCAGCAGTCCTGACACCCCATTTTATCAGCTCTACATTACACCACATAGGGCCAGTACGTAGTGTAAGGTGGCAGCCAAACCCCACCTGTTCATCAGCTGATAGCAGCAGTCTGTGCCTGCCCTGCTGTAGGGCAAGGGGTGAGTGACCCCTGCCCACAGAATCTTCCTCTCACCATCATCTTTCTCACCCCTGTGTACGACCTCTATCACTCTGTTTCAAGAGTGTTTGTGTCCATCTTGCATAAGGAGCCAAGCCAAGGAGGAACTCAGCTCTGATAATGGGGGACGTCCAGTTAACTTGCTAAAGACAAAATGTGCCTCACAGCTAACCCGTGCAATAAATTAACATTGTACGATACTCTGGCTGGTTTCACATCCTAATAGAATTACTTTCTCCCCCTCTATGCTCCATTGATCATCGAAATCGAAAGTACCCCCCTTACAGGGTGGCACCCGGGTGGCAGTGTCCCCGAGCCGGCAGTGACGTCCTGTGGGATGTGCTCACCCTGTGCTCACCCTCGCCTCTCCCTTCCAGCAGATCCCACACCCCCGAGGGCCCCTCTCCGCCCCTCTCCCTCTCCTGGGACAGGGGCCAGGACGTCCTTCGGGCAGGATGTTCCCCCCGCCGGGCTGCAGGAGGGGCTTCCCCATGGAGGTAGGTGGGTCTGGGCACTCCAGGAACTGCCAGGGCGGGTGGGAGCGGAGGAGCTTTGGGGGGTGAGGGTGGGCACCTCGGGGAGCTGAGGAGCCTGGGGAACATCACTGCGGTTTGGGGAAGAACTGGGAACAATCTGGGCCCTCGGCCAGCAGAGGAGGCGGGTGGGCTCCTGCCTCCCCATCCCTGTTCAGCAGCCGGCCGGGGCAGCGGTGCAGGGGGGGGTCTCACCACTCTCTTCTCTCCACAGCCCGACCCGTGGTGGGATGGAGCAGGAGCAGGGCCGTGCCCCCCTCACGGCCCCGAGGACGCCTGGGATGAGCCGCCCTGGAAGCACTGGCGCCTCCTGTGCCGGAGAGGATGGTTCTGGGTAAGGGGCTGGGGGATGTGCCATGGGCAGAGTGGGACCCTCAGCCAGAGTTCCTCAGGGACACCCTCCCCTGGAGCCCCCAGGCACAGAGGAGTCTGGACACGTGTGGATCCAGCCCCAGACTTGGTCAGAAGTTTGTGCCTGAAGGATTGTACGGGTGTAATGGAGGCTTCACACGACTTCCCTCCCGCAGGGTTGAGAATGGCAAAACAAATACATTTACATAGGTAAAATAAATTATTTATTTCCAGTGGTGGTAATGATTAGACTGAAGGGCCTTAATCATGTTATAGATGGTTATAACCATTGCTGTAGTGCACTGTTTATTAAATCAATGGTTTCAAAGTTAAATTAATAATTATTAAGTAGAGATTGATGTTACTCACCCAGACCAACACAAATCTCTTTGGCTCAGCCTCGGGGAGGGACCTTGAGGGGTGTTCCTGCTCCAGGGAGGAATCCACACGCACTCCTAGGAGGACTGTGCTGGAAATCCCACTGTTAGAAGGTGGGGTTGAGCTTTTATAGGATGAAACCATAGAGTGTCAGTGAGGCGTTGCTGGGGGAGCCCTGCCAGCTCAGCACAACTCCATTTATCCTTAAGTAAGTTATTTCTGCTCTCTGGTTCCTCTCAGGAAACATCTGTCCCCCACATCCCCTCCAGTGCCAGCTGCTCTCAGGACACGCTGGGTTTCACATTCTCGTGGTGTTTAATTTTGGAATATTTGAGCCAGGCTGCTCTGAGCCTTCCTGGACACCACCAGCAGCGTGACCCCCCCCTCTACCGCTGGTAACTTTGCAATTAGGTGAAATTTGACCTGTTTCACCCTAATTGTGTCCTGCTACAAGAAGGTGTTGTCGAGGTTCCCCTACAAATCCAGGGTAGCCAAAATCAGGGGCTCCCCTGGGAGCAGGAGGGGCAGAAAGAGCTGAGGGTCTCAGTGGGGAAGGGGAAGAGCAGGAAAACCAGAACATCCCAGTGAGCTGCTGTCCTCACCTACAATTCCTCATTGCAGCCCAGCCCCAGGGACCCCAGACCCTTCCCTGGCCCTGATGGCATCCCTTGGAATGAGGAGGAGGAGGACAGGATATGGGCACCCCACGACTACCCCCCACCCCCCTGGGACAGCAGAGGACCCGAGGAGTACTTCGCACAGGACTGGTTCCTGGTGAGCTTGTGGGCTGGGGGGTGGTAGCAGCTGCAGGACCGAGGCTGGGGAGTGGGTAAAATGGGGCAGGGGCCACTCACTGCCCTGGTGACAAGGACAGGGCGTGGGGACGGGTTTCCCAGCTCAGCCTCCGCTCTGCTGTCGCAGGATTCCCTGTCCCATTCCCTGCCTAAACCCACCCCCTTTCCTACAGGAGTGGCAGCCTGGCCCCTATCTTGAACCCCCCTTGGAGGAGGAGCAGCCCCCACCCTGGCACCCTGCTGGCCCACCAGAGTGGGTTCCATGCTCAGGGTGGGTGCCTTGCCCAGGGGGGTCCGTGTGGCTGTGGGGTGGCACGAAGGGGCACTGGGGGTGGGCACTGCGTGGGGGCACAGCCACGGGGTGACACTCCTGGCCCTGCTCAGCGTAGAGGGGGGTTGCACTGGAGGCCCCTTCCTAAAGTGCCCCCCGGCCCCGGGGCTGCCTTTGCTGCTGCAGGAGACGAGGGGGGTTCCATGGTGGGGGCCCCCCCTGGGACTGTGACCCCCCCAGGGGGAGACGCGGCCGACGCCTTCGCAGGAGCCAGTGTTCGTGGGGTCCCAGACCCCGCAGAGGTTTGTGCTGCCCCATTCCTGCTTCCTTGGTGCTCTCCAGCATCTCCCTGAGCAGAGCCAGAGCCGCTGCCGTTGTTTCCCGCTCCACAGGGCACAAATCACCCTCCAGGGCCTCTCCTCCCCGCCCCAAGACGAGCCAGCCAGCGGCCAGGAAAGAGCTGCAGCCCCCTGATCCTCCCCAGCCACCCGTGTCCCCCCAGGGTCCTGTGGAGAGGCCGGAACAGAGCCAGGTTGTGGGGTTTTACCTGCCCCCCCCGTCCCAGCTCCCAGCAGTGACCCGAGGGGGCTCAATCTGAGCCCTGTGTGGTGTCCTGGTTTCCCCCAGGACCTGCCAGAGGGGAGTGGGGAGGTCCCCAAGACCCCTGAGCCGTCCAGGACCCCTCCGAGGAGCCCGGCCACCGATCCCTGTGCTGTGGGGCTGGAGCAGGAGGCTCCAGGGACACCGGTAGGAGATTCCCCTGCTCCTGGGGCAGGCAGGGGGGCTGCACCCCCAGGGCTCTTGGGCCACTGTAACGTCTCCCTCCTCTCTCTCATCCAGCCCTTTCACTCTCCACCTTGCTGGCTCCTTGCCAGGCATGGGAGTTTTTCTGAACTCTTCTCTGGGGCTGCAAAGCCCCGTGGTTTCCTTTGGGGTTCAGCACCCCATGGGTCCTGTCCCACAGCTCCTCTCCCGGGACAGATGTGTCCCAGCCTCATGCCATTGCCTGTCCCCAGGTTGAGCCAGGAGCTGAGCAGACATCTCTGGGCAGCCAGGACCAGGATCCCTGTGCTTTGGGAGTGGAGCCAATCCCACTGGAGGAGAACTCTGCCAGGGCAGGGGAGCACCTCGAGGTATGGGATTCCCAGGGAGCAGCACAGGGCTCCCCAGATCCTCCCCACCAGCAGCACGCTGCTTCCCCTATGGATAGTTTTTATTTCCCACCCAAAATCAGTGCCTGGGAGGAGGCACATTCCCCTTTCCAAACCCTTTTTGGCCCTCGCCGTGGGCTCTGCAGCACACCTGTAACTCCTTGCACAGGTAGAGCCGTGCAGTCCAGCTGTCCCTGAGGCTGGCACAGGTGATGGGTCACATCCCCACAGCCCAACAGCCCCTCTGGATCCCACTGAGAGGGAACAGCTGGCATCCAGCTGCTCTGCAGAGGTGGGTGCTGAGCTGAGCCCACGTTCCCGGGGAGAGCAGCGTTTGCCAAGTGGAGCTGGAGAAGCTGAGGCAGAAGCTGCCCACGATGGGGTGGGTCTCAGCACATGGGGCAGCTCTGTGGCGTGTCCCCCTCCCCAGGTGAGAGCCCCCCGAGGCCTCTGCTGTAGGTGGGGCTGTGCTGGCAGCACTGGCTGCCCCCTCCTGCACAGCCTCTGCCTTCCTCCCCCAGCCCCTCTCTCTCCCACAGCTTCTCGAGAGCCTTCAGCCACCTGAAAACTCTCAGGTCCCACCAGGACCTGCAGCAGGAGCTGATGCAGAGCCCAGCCAGGCTTGTCCTGATCCCTGCACCTCACCAAGGACTTCACCAGAGCCCCAGCACTCTCCTGGCTCCAGTGAGACAAACCTGGTATGGGGTCCAGGTGCCCCCCTGGGTCCCCACATGGGGCTGGTCCCCTGGGCCTGGGGGCACTGCCACAGCAGGAGCAGTGGAGTGGGATCCCCAGCAGGATTCTGGGCTGGGGTTAAAGAGCTGCTTTGTCTGGAGGCAGAGCCCGTATCGGCCCCTGATGCCAATAAATGGGAGAGGGCTGGAGAAAGGCCAACGAAATAACTGGAGTTATTCTGTGTGTGGGAGTGTGTGGAGCATGAACAACCCCGGGACTGGAGCTTTAACAAAGCCAAGGAGAGCACTCCAGAGCAGCCTAATTTCTGCCTAATGGGGGACAGAAATCTACTGGAAGCTCTCCCTGCTGGGGCTGGGGCAGAGGGGGAGCAGGGCCAGCTCTGGCACCCAATGGAAAGGGGGAAACCCTGGGGAGCCAAAGTCCCAGCAGGTCCCTCAGAGGGTGACCACTCTCTGGCTAGTCAGTACTGGCAGCCCCAGTTTGGCCCAGTCCCTCTCCCTTGCCAAAGTGTCTGATCTTTCCTTGCCTTTCCCACCCCCCAGGCAGGGGATGGACAGCAGCAGCTCTGCTTCAGGCTCCTGACGCCCTCCCCATCCCGCCTGGATCTCCGCTCCGCCGCCGTCCTCGCCAGGAAGGAGGCCATCGAGCTGGTGAGTCCTGGGGGCCCCTGGCTGAGGGGTGTGGGGCTCTGGGACCTGCTGCAGGGTGGGGGGGACTCAACCCAGGACCTTCTGGAGCGATGCTGGGTGACAGGATGTGCACTCGGCATTTTGGGGGGCAGTGGGAAACCCCTCCTGGTGATGGTGATTGCAGGGGAAGCTGCTCGGAAGGGGTTTGCAGGGGCTCGGGTGCTGCCAGGGGGGTAGTGGACCAAAAAACGGGCGTGGGGGGAAGGAATACCCCTCAGGGGAGCTGTGTGCTGCTGGTTTGGGGTGCTGACCCCACAGCCCTGCAGTCGTACCAGCAGTTCAGCCTCAACATCGCGGTGGTGGCCACGATGCTGCTGCAGAAGGAGCCCTCCATGGAGGCACCCCTGGGGCTGGCACTCAGGGCCAACCTGCGCCAGGGCTGGATCCACCACCTGCAGGAGCTGGAGAATTTCATCAACAGCTACGACTCGGCCACCCCCAGCCCCTGAGGAGACACCCCCTCCTCCAGCCGGGCTGGGAGGGATGGGGGGCCGTGCCAGGGCACTGCCGTGCTCAGGTGGTGCTGAGCCTGTGGGTCAGGGTGGCATGGACATGTTGGCAGTCCCACCGTATCTCTTGGAGAGGGAGGAAGGTGGGGGTATGCTTAGTTTTAGTCCTGCCCAAACCTCTGTGTGCAGCCAAAGGAGGAGCTGGTGTTACTGGCTGGTGGTGGGAGGGAGGGAGAGCAGAAGCCCCTCTCCTCCATCCAGTCTCCTCACTCCATTCCTGATTCCCCGGGATGTGCTCACAAACCCCGGGAGTTGTTCTTGGTTTAAAATCCAAAAATAAACCCTGTTCTTGTTGCAGCCCTCTCTCCGCCGTCGTTCTGATCCCACTCTCCTGGGGTAGGTGAGGGAGGGTTCCTGCAGTGAACCCAGCATGGGGGTGTGGCAGAGGTCAGAGGTCACCCCTGGGATCACACTGCCCTGGTGGCAGGGTCGGTGTCACAGTGGGTGACCCTCCTGCATTCAGATTTCAGCCAAACTTTATTGGAGCTTCGTCACTGGCAGCAGCAGAGCTGCCCCCCCAGTCCCTCCCCACGATGCCACCAGGACATGGTGGCACCAGAGATGGAGAGCACGTGGCAGTGGTGCTCATCCTGCAAGGAGGAGTCCCAGGGAAGGATCCAAAGGATCCAACCCTGGCCCAGGGGTCTGGTGCAGGCAGCTGCCCTTGTCTGGAGCACCGGCCGCTCTCCCTGGAGCTGCTGCCGTGTCTGAGGTGCTGGAGCCCAGGTGAGCTCTGCTCCCTTCCTGCTTTACCTGTTCCTAATTGCGGGAGAGGCCGGCAGGAATTGCAGGCTGTGCTTTGCCAGCAGCTGCCGGGGGGGAAGGATCCCAGCAGCTTCTCCCACCAGCCTTGGGCCACGTCCAAAACGCACTTGGAACATGTTGAGACCGTGGCAGCACCCAGCAGGGGCTGGCAGGACGTCAGGGCCCCCGTGTCCCCACTGCTAGGACACACTGCAGTGTTTGCTGCTGCCCCGAGGCTTGGCCGTCCTGCCCCCAGCCTTCCCCGGGGGCTCCCTGCCCAGGGAATTCATCCCGGGCTTGGGGATGGGCTTCCCAAAAAAGAAACCCTCTTCCTCCGAGTCCGAGTCCGAAGATGAGGAGCAGGTGGGACACCAGGAGTCCTCCTCCTCCTCCGTGATGTCCTGCAGGTCGATGTGCTCCGGCCGGGGGCTGTGTTGGGGGGGGGACATGCCCGCTCGGGAAGGGGGGTTTCCGTGGCCCGCGGGTGTTCGGGGGTCAGGACCCCCCAAAACCGGGTGGCCCAAGGCTCCAGGCTCGTTGGGCCCCTCTGGGCTGGGCTGGGGGGCGGAGGGGTGGGTGGCTGGTGGTCCCAGCATCCCTGTGTGCACAGCATTGCTGCTCCGCTCCTTGGCGGCTGCTCCGTGGCCCTCCGGGCTCCTGAACGCGGGATGCACAGGGGCCTGATCCAAAAATGCCTCTGGGAGAAGGAAAGCAAGGGTAAATGAGGAAGGAGAAGGCTGAGCCTGCCCTCCCACAGCCCCTCGTGCACTGGGGGCTGCCCTGGGACATCAGGGGGGGTGGTAGCAGCCCAGTCTCAGCTCCCACCACTCGCCCTCCCAAGGGAGGTGGGCTGGGGGCTCATCGCCACTGCTCCAGCCCTAAACTGGGCTGCCCCCGTGTGCCGTTCCCCATGAAGCACCCAGGGGCTGAGCAGAGCCTGGAATTGCTCCCATTCCCCCCGTAGGATCCTACCAGCCCCTTCCACGTGCTGCCTGCAGCCCCCTGGAGCTGAGGGGCCACCGGACCCCAGCGTGGTCCTGCTGGCCGGGCCGGCTCGGGACAGGGGCGTCGAGTCCGGGGACGGAGCCGAGGCGAAGGCCGAGTCGGAGTCGGAGGCGCTGGAGGAGGAGGACGAGCCCTGGCGCAGGCTGCAGGCGTCGGAGCAGAAGAGGCGGCCGCGGCGGCAGGTGAGGGGCTGTCCCCACAGCGGCTTTCGGCACAGGCTGCAGCAGAAGCAGGCGGCCCGGGCGTGCCAGTGCAGCCCTTGGTGGGTGGCCCCCTCACTGTCAGCACCTGGGGGGCAACCACAGGTGAGGGGGAGGGTCTTCCCACACCTGTGTGCCAAAACCCCGTGTGCCAAAACCCGTCCTCTGCAGCCCTCCCAGCCCACTCCCGCCCGCCCGGCAGGGACGGGCAGCCCCCCGGGCTGGGGGTCGGGCCGTACCGATGGGGTCCCCGCAGGCCTGGCAGGGCTCGGCGAAGAGGCTCTCGAAGCAGGCGCGGCAGCAGGGCCGGCCACTCCTCATCACGTAGCGCTGCCCACGCAGGGGCACGTCGCACTCCAGGCAGCAGAAGTGCTCCAGGTGCCAGCGCCGGCCCTCGGCCTCGATGCACTCCTCCATGAAGATCAGCTGGAGCGGGAAAACAACCCATCCTCTCAGCACCCAGCGGGAGAACCCGCAGTCTGGAGGATGCTTTGCTGTGCTGAGGAGCGAGGAAGAGCCCTCATCCCGTGGCGTGGGCATGGGGATCTCAGCAAGGCTCAGGAAGGAACATTTCCTGCCCATCAGCGGTTCTAGCTGGATTTGCAGCCCCCAGCCAAGAGCAGAGGCTTTGAGGGGCCAAAGGGAGGTCAAAGCTGCCCCCTGCCCAGCACCCACCTGGTCGCAGGAGGCACAGCGGGGTCGGAAGAGCTCAGCGTGGTGCCGGCCACAGTAGATCCTCCCATCCTGCTGGAAGTAGATGAGATCCACCAGCGGCTGGTGGCAGAAGTGGCAGGAGAAGCAGGATGGGTGCCAGAACTGGTCCCCCAGTCGAGATGCTGAAATCCCCGGGTCGCCTTTGTTCAGCCTCCTGCCGCACTGCAAGGCAAAGGGACGCGGGGTTTGGGGCCAGGCTGGCTTTTGGGGACAGATCCCCGCCAGAGAACGGCTGCTGGGGGGGACATCTCACCTTCCTGCAGGGGCAGCCGTGGCAGGGACCGGGCACGGGACGTGCCAGCCCCTGGCCCAGGGCCTCCCGTCTCCGGCGGGCGCTGAACGCTCGCAGCTGCCGCCGCTCCTCCTCGGCGAGCTCGGGGCAGTACCGCTCCTGCACGGGGGCACGGGGGTGAGCGGGGCACGGGGGGAACCCGGGGTGGGCAGCACCCAAAAATAGGTGTCTTACATCGCAGTCCTGGGGAGGCAGCTGCTGCAGGAGGGCTCTGGCGCGGACCTGCGTCCTGTCGGAGGGAGAGCCGGGCTGCGGCGAGCGGGGGCCGAGGCACGGCGGGGCCTTGGGAGGGGGCACGGGAGAGAGAGACAGGTGGAATTTTAGGGGGGTTAAGCTGCATTGCTAGAATGTGTTTAATCTCAGGGCTCTGCTGTGGGAACCTCCCACGCATGGCACCCACGGAGCTGGGGGAGAGCCGGGGTGCTGCCCACCTCGGGGGGCGCGGGGTCCGCAGGGGGTTCCGGGTACTCTTCCAGGGCACAGCCGGAGTCGCTGTCGGAGGAGGCCGGAGGGAGGCCGGTGGTGCCGCAGGACGGGGACTCATCTCGCTGGGGCCATGCAGGGCGAGGCAGGGACATGAGCTGGGGAGAGAGGGCATGGGCTGGTGAGACCCCCGGCGAGGCAGGGAGGAGAGACCCATCCCCAGGACACGTAATCTGTCTCCACATGGCAGCAGGACGAGCAGCCCCTTGTCCCAGGGAGGGACCCTGGAGCAGGTCCAGCCGGGAGGATGCTCAGTGTCACCACGACCTCGAGACCTTTGGCTGAACCACTGCAGGAGTTCAAGGGCTTTTGGGGGCTCCTTTCTCTGCGGGAGTTACAGCAAATCCACACCCAGGGTGCGGGCACTCAGCAGGGCTGGGGCTCTGTCTGCCAAGCAGGAGGCACTGGGAGGGGATGTGATGGTGATGGGTCGAAGCCAAGTAGGGAAGACCCCAGGTGTCCGAGCTCAAGCTGGAAGAGGCTCTGGAAAACAGCCCCAGCTTTTTGCTCACCCACAGCAGATTTTCCCCAACTGCCACCAGTCCTTTGCTGGGTGGTGGCCAATCCCTGGTCAAGTGGCCCAGCCCTGAGCGGGGGCAGTGGGAACAGACTGAGGTTTAGCCCAACTCAGTGGAAAATAATTCCTTCCCCTTGGGCTGCCATTGTTCTGCCCCAGGCAGCTGTTCCTGCCCGGCTGGCCCAGCCACCACCACCACGCCTGGCCCGGGGTTACGCAGTGGAAACTCATCCCAAGCCGTCCCCTCCTCCCCGCGCGGGCGCTTTCCACCACGCGCTTCCTTCCTGCCCTGGCTTTCCAAAACAAAGGCGAGATGCTGATGTGGTGGCTCCTGGGGTTCCCTGGACGCCAGCCCAGAGCCTGAAGCCCTCAACCCGTGATTCCTGCCCTGGTGGGATGCAGGTGGGCTGTGGGTGGGATGGAGCTGAACTGCTGCTCCGGGGGGAAGTCACGGGTGCTGTGACCAAACAGGGCACCCCTGGATTCACCCAGTGCAACGCCCACCGTGGATTGATCAACTGCTCTGGAAAGTGTTTCCATGCAGAAAACAGCTCATCTCGGGCTCAGGGCTGAGGGGTGGGAACCCCCAAACTGTCCACCTGGGTCCTCCTAGTCCTCTGCCACCATGAGGACCCGTTCCCTTCTCTGCACTGGGATGGGACCGGTGTATCCCCCCTGCCCGCGCTGTCAGGGACATCCTGGCCAGCACCAGCATCCCCACTGCTCCCACTGAACACCTTCAACACCCCCAGCTCAGCCCCTGCTGCCAGTGTGCCCCTTCCTATGCAGCATCTTGAGGTGCTGGGATGTGGCAGCTCTGGAGCTGGGAGTGGGTGGGCTCAGCCCGAGCAGCTCAGGTTTCCCTGCCCTGCACCTGGGTCAATGATTAACGCTGCACATTGGCTAATCAGTGGGATAAAACAAAAGGGCTGCTTGCTTTTTCCTGGGCTTTGGGGTCTGCCAGCCCTGGGGCAGCACAGGAAGGTGCAGGGCTGGTTGCAGGGTGCTGTTCAAAGCTGTGCTTTGGGGTAGGGATGAAATAATCTGGCCCAACTCTGTATTTGCAGCTCAAGGAGGGCCCTGGCTTTGCTGGCTTGGTGAGGACCCACTGCTGGGCCAGGAAACAGTCTTGGCTCTACAGGAGAAGCAGGATGGTGAGTGGGGACCTCTGTGGGCTCAGTGTCTGGCCCCAGCTCTTTTTCTGCCTGGTTTGGGTAACGTGTCCCTGTTTCTCTCTCCCCAGTGGGAGGCATTCCCAGGCTGTGCTTGGCTCATTAAGCCTCCAAGCTGCATTTGTCTAATCTGCTGGGGCTTTGCTGTAATTAGACCCTGCTGAT